CCAGAGGGTATTGTATAAATACATATAAATACCCTCTGGTAATTTAACAGTTCACTATTGAACAGGGCCATAGAAATAGTTGATTTATCCATTAAACATGGTGATTTTCCATAGTTTTTTGTAAATGTTTACCAGAGGCTACACATTTTGAAAGGCTCGGCTCCAGATATTCCCTGGATCATTTCCCGCGATTGGATGACAATTCCGTTTCTGTTCCATGCATCATTGGTTAGGCTTGGAAAAGGCGGTGGGTGATTTCCATTGTAGGCATAGTTCCATCAGCAAAAAAAAAACTGCGGAATCAGAAAGAGTCATTTCTTCACAGAAACCTTGCCAAGATTGAAATGAAACACGGTTGAAAACATCAGTAAAAAGCCACAGGTGGACCTGAGATTGCTGCAGATCATCATTTCTGGATCTATGTTTGGGAAATCTGTTTTGGGAATATCTGAAATGGACCGCCAGGATTTAAATCCTAGGTTTAGTGTTGAATATGGACTCAGATTTCGCGAGCCCCCATGGTTCAACAAAACGCGTTTTGGACCGCGTTTTGGACCCACTCGTACTGGGGTTGTCATGGGGGAAGACTGTCTGACATCATCAATATTTAATTTGCCACAACCTCAAGTTTCTTCAATGATCACAGCCGTACCAGAAATCATCCCAGCAGTTGGCAGGTCCTAGTCCGCGCCAGCGATGTGCAGATTGGCCATCGCATGCCATCGTGCTTGACGGTGGAATTTGAACTGCCAGATGCCTGTTGGTGTCAAGCAACCATCGCTAAAAGCACCGGAAAAGACTCAAAGATACTCAAAGACTATGACAAATATCCCCGCAGGGTCCACTTTGTCTAATATTTGTTGAACTGTTTATGTGGGTTTGTCACCCCCAATTCCAATGGATTAGACGTTAGGGTATACCAGGGTATACCAGATATTTCAGGTCGAAGGAACTCCACACCCGGGGGACCCCTTGCTTTGACATAGCCCACTTTTTGAGACTTGGAAATCCAGATTTTCATGGGAGAAATGAGGCAAAATCATGCAAATCCACTGGAAGCTACCTTGCAATTGTGGTCATTTGTGGTCATCTCCCTTGTGTGATCGCTGATGAAGCCGCCCCATGCGGCCCCATGGCTGGTGACTCATTCTCTGGGGGAATCTACTGGGATATCGGAGATTCGCATGAGATGCTGCCAGGATATCGGGATGATCCGTTCGAATCGACTGTCTGATACTGTAGGTACCCTCTGGTAATTTAACAGTTCGCTATTGAAAATGACCATAGAAATAGTGAGTTTTCCCATAGTTTTTTGTAAATGTTTACCAGAGGGTATACGATGAAACCTTTGGTTTATCCTGTCCCATCCGAGCTTCACCAAAAAAAAAAACACGGCAGTCGGAAATCGCCGTGGCGCCGCCAGCTACGAGAACCGGCTTGGTCAGCGAAGTGGTGACCAGTTGACGCTGGTTGGTTGTTGATTGGGTTTCATGGGTTCCACTACTCTGGGATCCGTTGTGGAAATCTCAACCAAAGCGTATCAATTTGAGCACTGCTTATGTGTTTATGGATGGTGAGTGATGAAAATGGATCATTTCGGAATATGGGTCAGGCATGTTGATGGAATCTAACAGTTTAATACAGTACATATGAATAATTAGTTTTCAATAAAGACGTAAAATCATGCAGTTTAATTAATGCATAGGTACGATTAGTTTGAGATGTGTTTAGCCGCCATTTTGAAGGAGGAAAGCAACAATAAGATTTGATATGTGTCATGATGCCATGATGGCATGGTTTTTGGGGGGTCATCAATCCATTAGGTATGTATTTTTTCTGTACCCAGTATAACTTACTTTCGGAGTCCAATCATGTTCTGAGTTCTGGATGACTATACCATACCCCATATTTACCCATGGAACCAGACCATGTCGGAGGAAAATCCAACTTGTCCGGATGGAACACGCCACTTTCTGAAAAGGTGATCGCCAGGAAATTAATGTACGATGAGAAAAAAACATGAAAAAACCCACCAAATGCCCATTAGATCCCATTAGAGTATCCATCAAAACATTCATCAATTGTTGTGCAGACTCATCTTGGGGATGATGAAATAGAATGGGCTTAACACACATGTTTTACGGTAAATCATGGGAAAAATATCGTCATTTTCCCGTGTTTTCCCTATTGAAAGTGCCATAACTTGGGGGGGTATACACCTTTTTCAATCATACCCATTTAGTACAAGCAGCTAGTTACAACTGGTCTACCAGTATCTATCACCACTTGGCAAAATCCAGGCCCTGCTCGCACTTTGGTGCCTTGGTTATGCTCGCTTCCATGACAGTGGACTGCTGACACCCTCGGCCAAGGGGGCGAAAATGGGATATCAGAAGTATCATGGGGTATCCTAAATCCATAGAACATCCATTAAAAGAAACCGTGGAAATATCATCATATCCCCCATTGAATGGCTATTTTGCGTGGTATACCCCAGTTTCAAACCTTGATCGGAAATCACTACCACCGGAGAGAGTCTGAATGGTGGTTTGGAACATTTTTTATTTCCCCAATAGTTGGGATGATGATCCAATCTGACGAACTCATATTCTTCAGGGGGGTGGCTCAACCACCAATTAGGAGTCCTATGAACCGGTGAAATAGATTTTTGATACCAGCTTACGGTTGAATTGTGTAGAACATCCCAGTGTATTTTCCTTTCAACTTTAAATTATAGGAACATATTATGATATATTATGATTGGGGGGTTGTGGTTGAATCACGCTAAATCCATCTAAATCCCATGTTTTCATTTTTTGGTTCACCTTTGCATTCTTGGTGGTTTAAGTTCGCATCGCCCTCTCGGCCTCGCGGCAAGAAGCCGACCGACGGCCGTTCGGGGGTGCCATCAACTGATAAAGAGGCCCATGGGGCAATGTTTTTTTCGAATCTGTCTGGGTTCGTTCCGCACTGGACACGGGAAAATCAATGAACATCATCTATAAAATTGGGAACACACTCCATTCCAATCCATTCTAGGTAAAAAAGTCCGTAGGCCGGGGATAAGGTCTGGGCAGGGGTAACGAGGGGGATTCGCACTTACTGAAGTGTGATATCTGTCCAAAAATACTCCAAAATGGCGAACATGTCACGTTTGCGAAGGATGACCATCTGAGAGCTAGGAGGGAGTGTTTTACAGCTATTGGTATCCATATTCCGTATTAAATTGATTAAATGGAGAGTTGACGAGCTACTAAGACTTCCCACCTGATAGACGGTCAGTTGCCCCCCAAGATATCCTTATGATGTTTTTGCAAGCATCTGAAGTATACTTCGCGTCTCATCGAATAGCGCTCCAGAAACAGACCCAGATTCCAGCGCTGCGTTGTGATTTTCGGGATGGCTCTCTGAAGGTTCCGTGCGATTCAATGTAGCCTTGTTGATTGTTGTAGGGTTTGATACTGCCTATATAGTATCTATAGATATCTATGGTCTATAGGTTAAAATCTTATTGGGGATGATATCTCAATATATTTCAATATATCTCATAGAAGTCATAGACTATGAACCAAGGGCTTCCCCAGTCGTCACCATGATGCCATGGCAGTTTCAATACGAAGTCATGGTCAGGATTTGGATGTACCCATGGGTACCCCCATTTTGGGAAAGCTCCAAAAATCAAACATGGCATGGCTATATACCCTCTGGCAATTTGTTACATAGCTATTGAAAATACCCCATAGAAATAGTTTATTTACCTATTCAAAATGGTGATTTTCTATAGTTATGTTAGTTTACCAGAGGGTAGCTGGCTATAATTGGAACGCTCAAACTTTGAGCTGCAGTGACGGATCGAAAGATCTCAGTGTCCCACAGGTCCCACACAGTCTGAGTGTGGGAATCGATCGAAAAAAACACAAGCGCGTCAAGCGGATGATCTGGGAAGATGTCTAGTCTTCATGAATTATTTTATTGACCTCCATAGAAACAGGTTGGTGGTTGATAGTGGCTGCAGCAGAACTTTTGCCGTCCCTATTTGGACATCTTATTGGAAATGAGGAGCAGTATTTGGATGGGCCATTGGTTGAACTAGGCACCAAGGAGCAAGAGTTAGGCGCTATTTAAATTATTTGGCTGATGACCATTTAGTTCTTCCATCCGCATTGAGAAAGCAACGACATTTTTTCCAACTGGCAATGTGGGCTCAAACATCATTGGCCCCGACAAATAGCATGATCTTTGCGAGTTGAGGGATGGATAAGGATGGTGATTTGAAGACCAGAGAGTCAACCGGCAGGTCTTTGGCAGCTGATTTGGGTATGGGTCAATACCTATTAATACCATTTTTAGGGGGATGAACATCCATTTACCAGCTATTTTGATGTTCACCAGGGGTACAAGGTTTTGACACACTGCCATTTCAATCATGTTTCTGTATTTCAATCTTCCATGGGTCCAGAAATGGCCTTATGATTCCTGGTGCTTCACCCAGGTCTTTATTAATTGATGTGGGAAGCCTACACTCACTGGATTGGTTGAGTCGGGAAAATCTTCACCGGAAAGCATGGTTGTCCCCATAATATAGGGCTTTCCTGTGGTTTCCTGTAATTTTTCCCTCAAAGCAATCCATTGATACTAGTATGGATGGAGGTGTTCCTTCACCAGTAGATGGTTTATCCTATTACTAGCCATGGTATAGATGGCCCATAGAAATAGATGATTTTCCCAGCTAGAAACTTCCATTTATTTTGGGGATTTTCCATGGCGAACTGTCAGTCATAACCAGATGGTATGTTTGTTGATTTAAAACCAGTGGTATATGTCCCATTATATTGGCTTAGTATGAAAGCCATTATATATATATGGAGGTTTTCCTTAACCTATCCTCTATATATATATATATACATATATATATATATATTGGCCTTCATAGTTTCCAAGGGCTGATCGCCACACCAAGTGGGCTGCGTAAACCGGATCCGTAAACCGGCCGCCGCGAGGATGGCCGAGGCTTACAGCCCTCAGACATGGTCACCTACATGCAGGCGTGGGTCAAATGGTCAAATCTCGGACCGTGTCGCTGAAGATTTTGACGGAATATCAATGGATTGGTTTAAGATGGTTTAAGGGAAAAAATACAGGAACCCCCCATGATCTTCATGGGAAAATCCATGGTTTCCGGTTAAGATTTTCCCGACTAAACCAATCCAGTGAGTTTGACAGATTTTGACAGATGGGGGGTACCTTCAATAAATATGACAGATGGAATACTGTACCCCTTAGGTGCTGGAATATTTTTTTTGGAAGATTTTTTTGGAATATTTTGGAATATTTTGACAGAAGAATATTCCAAAGAAATCCAAAGAAGATATACCCGATATACCCTGAAGTGTTCATAAGAATGGTAGCCCGCAGATTGAATATTAACAATGAGATACCCTCTGGTAAATTAACAGTTTGACAGTTTTTGATCTCAGAATAAGCCATATTTTTAGTGGTTCCACTAATCACTAATCTTCCAAACTGGAAAAATGCCAGGGTCGCAATGTGAATTCACTGGAGGGTATGTTCATACAAATGTTTTTATCTAAACTGATTATAACTGGTTGGTGCTTTGGATGGCCTTTTCCAACGGTTTTTCGGGATGAGATGGATGCCCTAGAGACCGACGGTTTTCGGCTTCCCTGTGGGTTGATTTATACCCTCTAACTATGAAACTTCAGACATGGAAAAATCATGTCGCAGAAGCATTTTTTTTTGGGAGTTCATCTTAAAGTTTAGGGGATATATATATATATATAATGATGTAAATCCCAATCCTGATTTACATCTCAGTTTCTGTTGGCGATATTTTCATTGTTTGATCCGCAGTTAAAACCAGAGATGTTTGTTGATGTATAAGCCGCATTATCTTGTAGACATATCTACCATAAATCACTTAGCTGACCTAGTACTGCAAAAAATACTCAATGGGCTTGAGTTATTTCACTATATTTCACTATATTTCACTATATAGCTATAGCCTAATTTGTCCTATCCATTTCCAATTGGGTTCTCTCAGTTTCACCAATTTCTTGTTTTGCCGAGGCTAGCTTGGCAGAGCTCATCTGCCAAGGCTTGGTGGAGTGTGGAGAGCGCAGGCATGACCTTCCGAGCGATGGGGAAATGGATGGAAATGGTGGGATTTAGTGGGATTCTAATAGGAATGAATGGGATTTAGTGGATTTTTAATGTGATGTTAATGGGAATGAATGGGATTTAATGGGATTTAGTGGGATTTTAATGGGAATGAATTGGATTTGATAGGATTTTAATGGGATTTAATTGGATTTTAATGTGATGTTAATGGGAATGAATGGGATTCAGTGGGATTTAGTGGGATTTTAATGGGAATGAATTGGATTTGATAGGATTTTAATGGGATTTAATTGGATTTTAATGTGATGTTAATGGGAATGAATGGGATTCAGTGGGAATTAATAGGATTTAGTGGGATTTTAATTTGCTTCGATGGGAACGGGATGATTCGCTTGGTAATCAACCGTTGGTGGGACATCAAGCCATAGAGCCAGAAGCCATGTATAGGTCTCATCATTGCTGGACAAGACTTGCGGATCCCACATCGACCTTTGTTTGGTGCTGAGCCACCAAACAACATGGCTAGTGATTTAACATGATTTATAGATATTGAAATAGAATCATAGGCTCTTTGCTGACTCGTAGGTGGATACAAGTAGGGGATCTACTTGCGGTAGGTGAATGGTTGGTGAATGGTCGGTGCATGGTAGGTGAACGGATAGGTGAATGGATCTATATTTTTGTCTGCCACAAGTAGAGGCATAAACCAGCCAGAGTGACTAATTAACAATTTTTTCAACACAAAAGGAACATTAACCAAAACCAGCCAGGATTAATGCTTGGAATCCCAGCCATTTTATGCTAAGTCAGACTGGCCATTAATAAATTTGGATCCTACTTCACATGAAAAACTGGCCAAAAATAGGTGTTTTGGCCATTGCAGGGCGTATCTAGTTGGATATGTTGGATATGTTGGATGTACATCCCGGACATCTCACGACGCGGCTCGATTTTTGTGTGTGTGTGATCTTTACCAGTCACCATGACGATCAACCGATTGACGAATGGGAAGTTTGTTTCTAAGACGCATCCCTAACTATAACTATCAGAACTATCACATCCCTAAATTAACATGTACAAGGTGGCCCCCCCAGTTCTAAGCTGTTTGTTTATAACGCATCTAACTATACTTATCTATACCACAAGCCCAATTGTGATTGGAGTTATAAACCAGCTTTGCTAGCTGAGGCACCACCTTGTGTTTATAGCCCCAATTGCTGCTATTTCACCACATCTTCGGTGACACCATAGATGTCCCAAATTCCCATTGGTTTGTTGATTAATGGAGGGGTTTGAAGAAACCCCTTTAACAACAGGTAAATGATGATAGATGGTATACCAGCTCCCGGCCCCTCTATTTTGACCAAAAGGAAAATTGGTTTGGGTGACACCTCCATGTCTGCCGCGCCGAAATTCTGCCAGGCCCTTGTTCCCGGGCAAAGGACCCGAAGAATCGGCGCTCTTGTGCCTCTCGCGCTTCTTGCGCGCCAGGCGACAGCGGATTGCATGGTCATTCAGTGTCATGTTATTGAAGATTATAGAATTATAGGACTTAGTAAACTGACTATTAATGGTTATTATTGGTTATTATTGGTTATTAATGGTTATGAGTTGTTATTAATGGTTATTAATGGTTATTAATGGTTGTTAATGGTTATCAATTGTTATTAGTTGTTATGAATGGTTGTTAATGGTTATTATTGGTTATTAATGGTTGTTAATGGTTACTAATGGTTATTAATGGTTATTATTGGTTATTAATGGTTATTAATTGTTATTAATGGTTATTATTGGTTATTAATGGTTTTTAATTGTTATTAATGGTTGTTAATGGTTATTATTGGTTATTAATGGTTATTATTGCTTATTAATGGTTCTTAATTGTTATTATTGGTTATTAATGGTTATGAATGGTTTTTAATTGTTATTATATAATGGTTGTTAATGGTTAGTATTGGTTATTAATGGTTATTAATGGTTATGAATTGTTATTAATGGTTATTAATGGTTGTTAATGGTTGTTAATGGTTATTATTGGTTATTATTGGTTATTAATGGTTATCAATGGTTATTAATTGTTATTAATGGTTATTAGTGGCTGTAAATGGTTATTAATGGATATTAAATGTTATTAATGGTTATTAATGGTTATTATTGGTTACTAATGGTTATTAATGGTTATTAATGGTTATTATTGGTTATTAATGGATATTAATTGTTATTAATGTTTGTTAATGGTTATTAATTATTATGAATTGTTATTAATGGTTGTTAATGGTTATTATTGGTTATTAATGGTTATTAATGGTTATTGATGGTTATTAATTGGGAAAAATGGTTGTTAATGGTTATTAATTGTTATTAATGGTTGTTAATGGTTAATAATGGTTATTATGTGTTATTATTGGTTATTAATGGTTATGAATGGTTTTTAATTGTTATTAATGGTTGTTAATGGTTATTAATTGTTATTAATTGTTATTAATGGTCAATGGTTGTTAATGGTTATTATTTGTTATTAATGGTTATTAATGGTTATTAATTGTTATTAATGGTTATTAATGGTTAGCGGATGAAATTGTTCAGGTTAATGTTGGTTAATGATGGTGATTGATGCTGATTAATGCTGATTAATGCTGATTAATGCTGATTAATGGGATAAATGATAATAATGAATGCTACCATCTGGCTATTTAACAATTTGCCATGGAAAATTCCACCATTTTTAATAGGTAAACCATCTATTTCTATGGGCCATTTTCCATGGCTATGTTAAATAACCAGAGGGTACATACTATTACTATATCAGACTGTATCCTATTCCTATTGCTATGCCTCTTACTTTTAGAATTGCTCATATTGCCAGGAATATGGAATAAATTGAAATAGTGCCAATTCTAATAGTATTGCTAATACTACAGCACTCTGTTCTTAGTAGTATTGCTATGAGACGTCGCCAGGAATCCCTTGAACACCGAGATGTACGCTGGAAAGATGAGCGACGCGCGTGAGGACGGCGTAGTGGTGAGAGGTGCTTGCCGTGGTGATAACCACCCAGCAATTAATGATTATAGAATTATAGGACTTAGTAACCTGATTATTAATGGTTATTAATGGCAATGGTTTTTCAATGTTAATTAACGGTTATTAATGTTTATTAATGATTATTATTGGTTATTAATGGTTATTAATGGTTTTTCAATGGTTTATTAATGGTTATTCATGGTTATGAATTGTTATTAATGGGGATTAATGGTTGTTAATGGTTGTAAGATTGTTACAAGATGGTTATAACCAATTAATGATGGCTGATATAAATCATGCTATCAATGGTTATGAACTTGAACGGCAGCCAATTTGAAAACTTCAAACTATCTACGAGTCGGAATCCTGTGAGAAGCAAGATGGAAACCCAAAGCATGGCAACCACGGTCTCCGAAATGCACGCGGTCTATCCACCTAATCTATCTATCTACCTACCCACCTATCTACCTACCTATCTATCATTCATATTCATATCTAAACTAATCTAAACCAATCCAATCCAATTGAATCGAATCTAATCTATCTATCTACCTACCTATCTATCTACCTATCTACCTATCTACCTATCTACCTATCTACCTATCTATCTATCTATCTATCTATTGACTTGTCTGCCTTTTGAAGAAACCCGTGTCAGGAGTTCCTGAAAGGCTGCGCATTACCTTCAGCCAGGGCGCCCAAGGGTTGAAACAGCAAGCCTTGCAGCATGGAAACATAAGTAGATTTGATAAGCACCAAAGTGGCTGAATGTCCCGGTAAAATAGGATCAACAACTATTAAAAAAAACTGCGGCAAGAATGGGGTCAAGCAACAAACTATTTTTGGAGGCGAATCGCCACGAAAAGTTTTGACGTTTTACATGGTTTTAGTATCAACCAAAGGGCAGGGTTTCTGTAGTCATCAAAATCGACTTTGGTGAATGGCGAGCGATGGTGTTTCGGCGCTGTGGAACGAAACGTTTTTGGGCCGTGTGCAGATCAGGTCCCTGCGTGCCTTTCTTGATTTACTCCTAGTGAACAGTCCGCAGCGTCTGTTGGGTTGAGGAAGTTGAGGGTCCATTTTGACATCAAAATAGGGGCCCTCAAGCTTTAATGGCGCATGAATGCTTATCACGTGACCAACTCTTTCGGGTAGTTTTGGGTGTCATTTATATACGTAGGTTCCATTCAGGGTTTATTTAGGGTTTCATTTAGGGTTTTAAGGTTTTTACCACGCTTTCAACAAGTTTCTACCCTTTAAGGCTTACTTAGGCTTTCATGTCAGATTAGGTTTCAGGGTTTAAGATTGAAGGTTTAGGGTTTATGGTTGGGGTATTAGAAACAAGTCTCTTCAGCCAGCTGGCCATACGGCCGACATGGCAACATGCACAAAACTCTGCGCCTGCGCGATCAAGATGACCCTTGCCGGGCAGCACCCCCGTCCTGGCCGTGTATATATAATCATATATATATATATATGTACACACCCACATATATACATATATAGATACACACGCACACTTCATTTTCAGACAAACCCAAATAGCTGAATAAGAGATGAAATGTATTTCATAAGATACACTGGCCAATGGCCATTTCTATCGATCATTGCTTCTATGCTATTAATTTTCTCACCTGAAAGATGATCATAATTAGTTTATAAACCCCATTGACTAGGGATATATCTACCACAAACCCCACAGTACAAGATGATCACAAATCATCAGCCAGTTCAATGAAGACTTCCAGGTTCTATTGAAGTCTCATTATAAATACGTATGCATACATACATACATACATACATACATACGTACGTACGTACGTACGTACTTACGTACATACATATATATATATATACATATATCTATATATACATATATATATATACATAATCCCTTGAAAATCTGCTTGCAGTCCCAATCGAAAGCCCCGTTCTTCCATCCTTCTTTTCCCCGACTCCAGAGCCCCGACGGCTGAGGATCTGAAAGAGATGACGGAAAAGAAGATGTCACCCGATTACGTCGGAGCCCCCGAGTCGAGAAACGAAGTTCTTTGAGGGTAAAATGATGTTGATCACAGAGGGGATGTCTAGGGAGTAATAGAAGAATAATACTGTATATATAATACTAGTATATAGGGCGTGATAACCCAAAAGTATAGAGTAATCGAAGGAAATTTAGAAGTCAAACTTCCGACTTATGGACAGATGGAGCAACAGTTGTGAGAGCAGTCAGAGAAGAGAAAGAGTCAGAGAAGAGAGAGTCAGCAGAAAGAAGATCAGAGATGGGAAAAGTCAGAGAAGAGAGAGCCAGAAGAACTAAAGCGGCGGGTGCAGAGCCATTTGGTCGGTTGAGATATCAAAATTGCACGCGGCTGTGGCATGTGCGGAGCACTTCTGGAAGTTGAGGTCTTGAAAAAGTAATTTCAGTTACGCTGGCAATTGACCCCAAACAGTGTGTGGGGGTAGGAAGTCAATGTACCAGATACAAGCAGCAGTAGCTGTGGAACAGAAACAGATCAGATGATTAGACATTATCGTAGCTGCAGCAGCAGGAACATGTTCGGCACAAGAAGCTATGTCTACTCAGCAAGACTTCCTACCAGAACCTCATACCACGACATTTAAGAGAATTTCAAAAGATCGTCAAAGAAGGACCTTCTATATAGAGGTTTTTAGAAGATCTTCGCGCAAGAACTTCTTATGAGCATCCCAGAAGAACTCTCGTACAAGCACCACTGCAGAGCATTGTCAAGACCTTAATGCAAGGATCTTTTGAGGAGGATTTCAGGAGGATCGCCATAAGATTTTCTCACAAGGACCTGTACGAGATCCTGCTAAGGCGGCTGGCAGCATGTCACTCAGATCTCCACAAGATCTTCTAGAGGATTTCACCCGGATCTCTACAAGATCTTCTCACAAAGAATGGTAAAAGACCTCGACCAAGATCCTCACGATTGGTTAAAAACCCCCGCTAAACATAGACAGAATCCCTATAAACCCGACGGTTCACCAACTTACATTCCCGCGGTGGTTCCAAGCTGAGGCACCACAATTTTGTCCAATTTCTTCAATTATATCCGCAGTTAAGATTCCTCTATGATTGATTTTCATGTCCCTGTGAATATCCTATCTGGTTGATTTATATAGAATATCCCGTACATATTATATATATATATACATATATATATACATATATATATATATATGTCGAGGAATTATCCCAAAGATTCCATAATATGGCTGGATTTCTAATCCGCCAGGCTTGGACCTCCACGGAGACCGCGAAGTTCCAAGAGCTCTGCGCGCGCTTCGATGAGGTGATGGTTGGTTCGCCATTTTGACCGGGGCTGTTGCCGAATATAGGTGATATATATGATTATATGATGATATAGCTAATAGCGATGGTATATGATAACAGCATATATATATATGTTTTAAACTATATCACTTATTTTAATCACTATAAGTTGATATAGGTGATATATATATATATATGATGGTTGATGTATGTGATATATCTAAAATATGGGGATAAAATGAATATAAACTGATCAAGTATGGTTGATTTATAATTATGGTTGTGGGGTTAAAGATTTTATTATCCAACATACTGGGGAAAATCACAGTTCATGAAGTGGCAAATACGGTTAAACAACCAGTACAAAGGGACGACGTTTTCTTTTATCATGAAACGGGATTTAACCAAAAACTACGGTTGATAAACTCGAAAAACTTGGGTTTATGATGGTTTATGGTGGATATATCTATAGTTCATTAGGTTTGAACCAACAATGGATAGAATGTAGCCGACAACAATGGGATTATAATCAACAACAACGGTATTATGAAAGGGATGGGGACTATACTTGGGCAAATATGGAATCTAACCAACAACAATGGAGGTATCATGGGGTGATGGAATATTTTTACAGCAATATCATGGAATGTGCTGGATAGCCAACACTATCATACATGGGTGTGTTTGAAAAGGGTGTATACCCCCGAATCGCTGTTTTAAAAGGAAATATGATGATGGACCAAGGGATTTATATACGAGTACCCTTTACCTTATTTTCGGACAACCCCAAATGGGGGATTCAATCAGCACACGGGGCTACAAAACTAGCAATCGTTGGCTTAGGCTTGCAACCGGATATGATGTACTATATGCGATATGAAATGATATAAGCGACCACATGATGTTGGTTTGTGTCGAACTTGGGGAGCCCTGCCTGAATTTCATGCCAGCTCATCGGGAAAATGTTGATTTAATCCATGGGGTTTCTGCGATTTGGCATTTCAGATTGGGATTTCCTCATTTCGTTTTTTTTTCTTGGGACAAATCCTGAGTACGGGGAGCCAAAAAAACCATTTACGGGCCAATTCTTCTAGGAATACGGTCGTTGGTCGTTTCGCAGGTCAAAAAAAATCCATCCAGATAGGATGATCCTCCTGGCTGATTGGTGTTTGTGGGATAGTTTGAACGCACCGGTATTTTTCCATTGGAAAAAAGATCTATGAATCGATTGCAGTAGATGGGAGTTTCTAATGCCAATTGCCATGTAGTGATATAATGTGATAGAACTGATCTATTTAGGTCCCGAAAAAAATGACAGTTAGGGACCGCACTATTTGATGTCCACTTACTATTTGTTTTGGGATTGCTAGAAGTGGACCTGAGAGACAGCCATGTATAATTACCCAGGTATTGTCAAGAAACTGGCGAAGATCCATGTCGAAAGGTTGAAACAAAAACATAGGTATAGAGATGATAACGGTTTTAACATGCAACATTTTGCAGCTACGATCATCTAGTGTACAGGATTACATACTTGTTTAGTATGTTACGAGGAAAAACCATTACGAGTGTTCGTTGAGCAACAAACAGTTGGAGATTGAATCAATCAAGTTGGAGATGGAACCAATAAAGGGCGATGACTCGCTTGTGACTGTCGGATCCGCTCGCGCGTAACTGTCGAATCCGCTCGCATGTAACTGTCTCAAACCATCAACAGCATCAAAAGAGTCATCATCAAAATTATCTTAATAACGATTAGCATGGCATGATCGCAATGATCACCATCACCATCAAAATATTGTAAGCTTACATCATCACCATCATCATCATCATCATCACCATCATCATCATCATCATCACCATCATCATCATCATCACCATCATCATCGTCATCGTCATCGTCATCGACATCGTCATCGTCATCATCATCATCATCATCATCATCATCATCATCGCCATCACTATCGGGGCAATGAAGAAGACAGAGAAGTAAAGAGCAGGGAAGTGAAAATAGTAGGGAAGTGAAGAGAGTAGGGAAGTGAAGAGAATATGACGTGAGTGACCAGTGGAATGAAGTCAGTGGAAGCTGCCATCCCGTGTCAAGCCCCACCCCATTCTACCCCCCCCCCCCCCCCCCCCCCCCCCCCCCCCCCCCCCGCCCCACCCCACAGAAACAAGACAATCACAAGTAGCAGTCGCAAGTGAGTGACAGTCGCAAGTGAGCCAATGTGATAGTCGCAGGTGAGGGGTTTGCCATCAATAAATGACATTTACGACAAGATCTGTAGGGGGCCGATTGCGTTCGTTGCTTTGAGCGACTTAAATTCCAGACCAATTATGTTTCATAAATGGGTTTTGAAGTCTAGTAAACCCAAATGTGGATCCCACGTGCGAAACATGTCAAATCAGCAGGCCCAGCATGTGGGCAGGCAGTTTGTGAGTACGAAATCTCGATCCATAGCCAACTGGGTCAGCATGCATTGCAACATGATTTCAATGGATACATCACAAGACTGCACCACAGATACGTGTTTTTTTCTCAGAATCCATCATTGTCATCACCTCATCACACCTGAAACACCACTCAGTTTTTTTGGTTGCTTTGCTGTCAGGTGGTGCCTCCAGCTATGTTTGTGGGTTTATACTCCCCATCAATTGTCGATATGTGATATACTGGTATCTATCACAACTCCCACACCCACAGTATCCCACAGTTATTGGAGTTATTTCAACTCAATTAGCCTTCAAGAACTTGTGCAACACTGCCCAAAAGGACCCACTCCCTGCAGGTCTTTTCACAGCAAAGCTGATGCATGGATCCTTTGGAGCGGAGCATGTGAACAAGGAGGCTTGGGACATGTCCCATAAATGAGGAAAACGACATGGCTATTAATCAAACATGATCAACACTTTCACCATCTTTTGGGGATGAACATCCAGCTATTTTGAGTCTCTGACTCATGCCCTAGGCCCTAGATTTGCTGACAATTGATCCAACCAGCCGCTATGATACTGCTCAGTACATTCCCATCTCCATCCATCTCCGAAAATAGGAAGATACACGAGGAAGTGCAGCTTTATCCGTGCTCAAGTTGAGCTTTTTTTTTCTCAACTGTTGCACTCCAAGCGCTCCAAAGAAAGAACCGACGTCTCACCGCGCACATTTTCAGCCGGGCCCTGGTTCAGGAACACAACGGGTATAGCAGTTGAAAATCCGTTCAAATCATATCAAATCATGGTGACATTACGACAACCTCCAACCACTGATCCACATCACATGGGAACGGGTGGAAACGACCAACGGAGCTAGCCATGGTTCATGGGCGCGACCAAAACGATGCGAGAGATGCGGAGGGATTAATGTGGAGAGATGTCACAAAATGATACAAAATGCCAGTTCCAAGGGGATTCCTATGTATCTAAGTGAAGATTCCGGTTGCAAGCCCTTGTAGAATCATGCAAGAATCACGTGTAATGATGGAATCTTCTCTCTCGCTCTCTATATTTCTCCATATACTACTGTATATTATATAACTACATATATATATATATATTATTATATTATACACATACATGTACATCCGGCCAATTGATGGATGGAAAAAAGATAGGTTGCACCACCTCGGGGATTTCGGCACTGGAAACAGAAAGGCAGCCAGGAAAATGGCCGCCAGCTGTACAGTCATACGGTCATCCCCAGAAACATCGAACAGCAAATCTCCATAAAAAAGTGAAGATTCACGGTTACTTTTTGTTTGACATACCCTCTGGTAAACTAACATAACTATAGAAAATCACCATTTTCAATGGGAAAATCCACTATAAATGGCCATTTTCAATAGCTATGTTAAATTACCACAGGGCATTTTTTGTTTGAAATATGTATAACAATATATCACCATATGCATAGACATCCCTATACATGTACTGAACATTTGGCAGCCAGGCACCCGGCACAGTAGGAAAATATCACGACTTGCCACGGTGCGGTCATCGTTTTTGCTTGGCATGATAATTCTACGTGTAATCTACGATGATAAAAGCTGTGTTTTGTTATATATCTAATCATATATACATATATAACATGTATATGTATTTTATGTATATGCATGAATAATATGTATAATCGCCTGATCCCTCATGTGACTTGCTCCCAGCATCGTGGGCTCAAGACACAGCACCTGGTGCGCCCGTCACGAAGACTTCAGGATCTTCGGGGTGTAAAACCAGGGGTTTCACGCGGGAGTGCGTCATATCTACATGCATTTGTTTATATAATTATATACCCTCTGGTAATTTAACATAGCTATTGAAAATAACCCATAGAAATAGTTGATTTACCTATTAAAGATGGTGATTTTCCAGTTCGCTATGTAAACGTTTACCAAAGGGTAGATATACAATATGACATGGTATTGCCACAAAACTTTGGGTGGATAAACACCTGCCACAAAATGGTCATTGGATTGGTCTCAGGGAGAAAAATCTGCTCACCACGGCCAGGAGCCCTTCGGAGTCATGGCTGATCCTGATGATGATGGACCCAAGTACCAGCAAAACTGGCAACGTTGCTGGGTAATTCTTAGTGAAAACATGTAAATGGGATTTGGTATATAACTTTTAAGATTGTCTATGTTCAATCATTGTTAAAAAAGGAGTCATTGGTTTGTAAATGTTGTGCTGTTGCAGGGTGTAGATGTCTTTCCCGCTGCTTGTAGATTTGATTTTCGTATACTACTTGGTTGATTCCCTAACCCTCAATTGACTTGAACAACCGATGGGCAAATGGTACCAAACCGACCGTTTTTTTTTCTCCAGAATTTCATTGGTTGTGGCGGTGTTACAACTTCTTACAACAACAAAATGACCTGTGTTCGACCCTCTGAGCTGCAAGTGCTCCCAGTGGGGATCACCAAGTCACTTTGATTCAGTACCTATCATGGAACATGTATGCTACACCCAATCTTCATGTGATGCACTCCATTGAGAACGTTTCCGGCATTTTTCTAGATGACTCCAGCAATCGGAAAATGGAGAGAAACAGACAAGCTGCATTCTACTATCTTCTAAATCTGTTCAAGCACTGTTCAGTATTATATCTTGGAAAAATGCAATCATTTCCAACTCGCAAAAGAACAATCCCAATATATCCTCTCCCTGCAATGGCAATTGGTAACGCCAATCTCTTTGCGCAGCGCGCCAGGCTTTTCAAGAAGGGCTGCACGGAACCCAATGAGGCGCATGTTTTCAACAGCATCAAACGGCCATCCAAAACAAGAGTTCCATGATCAAATCATACCACAATTTCCTGGTAGTTTCAAATATGTTGTTGTTTGTTAGTTTAGTATTTTGGATGCTGGTTCAACTGGTTCAACTGGTTCCTACATGTTTACAACCTGTCAGATGGGTTGGTTCGATCTTGAAACCACCAGTAAAACCACTTTGGAGAATGACCTTTGATCATCGGCCACTGGTCCTCTGTTGATTGGTCACATGAGGGGGGTCATACTATCAGGTTTATTGGGGATAACATGGGATAACTATGACCCATAATAACAAGTAGGTGGGGATGATAGAAGGTTTTAACATGCTAAAAAAACTGCTGCAACAATTTGATGCAAACCAAAGACAACTTGGGGTCAAACGATTCTCTGTGACACGAATTGGGTGGGGGTGGATTCCTTGCAGCAAAAGATCATGTCCAAACAGAAAATGGTTGCAGGGATTTCCTTCTAGCGGCTATCGTTCGTAGACTAAGGAGGGTGAAAATGTGGTCACAAAAATCATACATTGACCATTACTGGTTGGTGGTTTGGAACATGAATTTTATTTTTTCCCATCATATTGGGAATTTCATCATCCCAACTGACGAAGTCATATTTTTCAGAGGTAGGTCAACCACCAACCAGACATGATGTCCACATATTCTTAGCTTACCAGACTTACTGATGCTAAACGTAGGGAACGGATGGGTTGCTGGGGGTTGCTGGGATGATGATTGATAGTTAGCCAGTGGATCATTCCCGAAAATTCCCTGCGTTTAGCACGTTTAGTCAGTCATATGGAGGTTTCCAATCCATAGGGCTACCCCCAGTCATCCATTTCTATATGTTTCTGGGATTTTCCATGAAATAAACATCAATAAACCATCTATTTATGGGATTTTTAATAGGATTTTCCATGAAATAAACCAGCCCCCATTGATTTCCCCCGAAACTGCCGGGGTGCGCATTGCGATGATTTCAGATCATTTCGCCCAGGGTGGCTCACAGCAGTTCACAGGACAAGGCTAGCGGCAGGTTGATGGGCAAAATTACACGAAACCTCATGGATCTTATACATTCTTATACCCTCTGGTAAATAAACATAGACCCTGAAAATCACCAATTTTTAATGGAAACTAGTCTTCCAACCCCTATCTGCCAGGGTCTATGTTAATTTACCAGAGGGTACATGATATATGTATAATCCTGTATAAGTATAGTAGGATCTGATATAATTAATGATATGAGATATGGTATGATATGATACAATGATATCATAATACAATAAAATACAATATATATATATATAACATATATATTTACACACATATGTACATGCATATGTGTATAGTAACCCCCAAGAAGATAGACAATCATTGGTCGCTTATCACTACTTTGGTAGGATTTTGCTGTTCTATCATTTTTTGGGTTCCTATATGAATAGTTGTTCATATATTTGAAGATAAAAGCCAGGGGGTTCATGTAGAGTTCGATGTTCCCGTAGATGAACTCCAATGGCTAAGCGTCAAAGGCCAACGATCCAACGACCTGTTTCTCCAATGGTCGTTTTTCAGGTTTTTTCTGGATGGTTCAGGCCGAAGGTGCAGATCGGTGACTTCAAGACTGAACTGAATAAACTTTCGGGTGCAATTTGTACCAAATCCATGTATATATATATATACACATATTATACTATTTAATTATAATATATATAATATTTAAACATCTTAAAAGTCTTGGGGCACCTGGTCCATGCATCAGTGGATGGTTGATGCTCTGGTCCATCTCCAGTGGTCCAGTGGTCCAGGCAAGGCGATGTACGTCACCGGTGACACGTACGAGGGCACCTTCGTAGAAGGCCTTCGTACAGGCCGGGTTTTGGCGGGGACTCGGTGGCTGGTTTCAAGCCACACATCTGTCATCTGTCAAAGTGAAAAGTGTTCATGATTTGAAAGAATTAAGTTCAAAAGATGCTAAATATGTCAAACATGTTACAATTGTTTCAAAACATGTTAAACATGTTCAAAAGATATGTTAAATGAAACATGTCATGTTCAATTATTCAATTATTTCCAAGCATCCCTTCACCCAGATTCACCATGCAATAGCCGCCGAAAAATCCCAGGCAAAGGCCTCTACGTCTTCAAGAAGCACGGGGATTCCTACGAAGGCCTGGGGAAGATTGGGGGTCGTATCCTTGGACCTGTTGCAGGTGTGAACGTTGATGCTTTATGATGGTTTATGGATTTGGGTTTACCAGATTTGGGTTTACCAGATTATGATGGTTTATGGATTTACTACATGGTTTATGGATCATTATATCTTCTATAAATCTTGATGATGTACATTTATGTACTGGAAATATATATGTAAATCATGTAGTTATGTGTGTACAGCCGTTTATTCTTGGCTAACCGCCAAGATACCCTTTTTCTGTACTCCTAGTTTTTCTTCACCCACATTGGTTACCCTCTGGTAAACTAACATAACTATGGAAAATCACCATTTGTAATGGGAAAATTCACTATAAATGGTCATTTTCAATAGCTATTTTGACATAACCAGAGGGTAACACCATGGCATTTCACTGGTGATGGTTTGCCATGTGCCGCCGGCGTCGGAAGGCAAGTATGAAGAGAATCGGAAGCACGGCTTCGGCAAGATGATCTACAGGTGAACCGCCGGCTGGAAACCAATGGTTGACCGAAAAGGCCAGTTTCGACCTGTACATACTATGATATATATATATAGATATCGATCTGTATATTTCTGTTAAAGAATGATTTATACATGTATATGTTTCAGTCACGCATCCCGTAGATATTTAAGTATTTCATGGTATAAATTAAATGTGTGTCCATATGTGCAATATATGCTGATAGTGCGTAGTATTTGCACATCATGCACATTCCTTGAAGATGCCTTCAATCCTTAAAGCCCTCTTTCCTCGTCGCACGCATAGGCAAATCAGATGGCTGTGGACGGATCAGAATCATTGGATACCCTTTAGCAACTCAATATGGCAGTGGAAAACCTCTCGAAGTACCTTAAAATTAAAAAAACAATAGACTTAAAGCTAAGACCGACTCCATTTATATATTTTTTTTAAGCTTTGAAGCAAACGGACGACTAACATCTGTGACGAAAACTTCGAATGCGCAAGGAACAATATCGCAGAGGACAGGCTGCCAGGGTGACTGGATTTTGTTCCCAAGATCTACTTGGATGTGGGTCTGAAAAAGGGGTATATCTCCCTACTAGCCATTTTGATGTTGGGAAAATGCAGGGAAAACAACCGGTTGGTGGGTACCCTATTTTCAGACAACGCCATTTGTATCCCAGGTTTTTTTTCATGTGGTCATGGATATTCCATCAATGGAATCGTATAATATCTGGTTGGTGGTTTGGAACATGAATTTTATTTTTCCATATATATATATATATGTATAGGGAATAATAATCCCAACTGACAAACTCCATGATTTTTCAGAGGGGTAGGTCAACCACCAAGCAGATTTGATGAGTTGACCAATTGCTGGGATGCACCAGTCAAGCAACACATCATATCCCCGAAACGTTTTTTTTTATCGGGAGAACATGTACAGTGGAACCCCCCCAAAAATCTTGCGGCAAAAACATGGTAAAAACCATGCTTCCTGGTTGAAAACTCTGGTAAATCAATCCATTAGCATATGGAATTCATCCACCATCTGTGGATCATTTTCGTGGCAAAACACCGAGATTGTCCATATGATTAATTCTATTATTTTGTCCTCATATAGAAGACGTTCTGAAAAGATAAAAGACGGTGTTGCAGTGTTGCATGATTATAGCGACATAAAACTTGCGGATGGCCACCAATAAAGTTCATGCCCATGCCGATGCTGCTGCTGCTGCTACTGCTGCTGATGATGATGATGAGGAGGAGGAAGACGACAACGTACGTAGAATACAAGAAAAGTGTTGAACCCTCGAACAATTCCCACTTTTTGGATGTCCTCAGCGTTGCTTGTTGAACCATGTGTTTATTTATTTGGGGAGATACCCACTTCTTGGTCACCGAGTTATATACCCCACCTTTTTTGCTGATGGCAGGGGTTTGTTTAGTGAAACACTCTTTATTGTCCATGACCAATGAAGGAACTCGTGGACCTCCATTGTCGTTTAGAGTAGTCGAGTTGCTCCATTAATCTATCTTAAAAGGAGTCCGTAACAATTTTGTTTGTTCGTGAAATTGGAAAACGCACGGTGTTCCATGTTAGATGTTCAGAGGTTTTTCAGAATAAACAATCAGCTGGTTGGTGGTTTGGAACATGTTTTATTGTTCCATATATTGCGAAGTTCATCATCCCAACTGATGAAGTCATATTTTTCAGAGTGGTAGGTATACCACCAACCAGTCAAAGTTACCACTGTTATCTCACATTTTTTGCTCACTGATGTCCCACTTATGTCTTGGGCTTGGTGATATCTCAGGACGAAGATCCGCCAGATGAGAACGCCCCTCCGCGTGGAGGCCAGGCAACAAAAGCATACTGATTGGTGGTGACTGGAACCATGGAATTTTATGACTTTGGTGGTTCCTGAATGAACACATCCATTCTCTGATTATGAACTCATCACAACTTATCTGGTTGGTGGTTTGGAACAGGAATTAAATTTTTCCATATATTGGGAATGTCATCATCCCAACTGACGAATTCAGATTTTTCAGAGGGGTAAGTATACCACCAACCAGCATAGAACTTACCTGTGATTGGAGAAACAACAGTTGCGGTTTCAGCATCAGCCATCTGGCTTCCAGCAATCTGAGAAACCTTGATGTTGAGCCATGTCAGAATTGTCAGTAAACCGGTCAGCCATGCCGGCACCACGTTTTTTTTTGGGATATGAAGCGAAACATGTGGGAATGGGGGAATTAATTAACCATAAAAAACGATGAGAAACCTTGAGAAGATGGGGTAATAATCAGATATCTGCTGTGTATTAGCCAAATTTGTTCTGTTTGATGACGATGTTGCCCATAAAGGAACTGGGATACTGCCCATGAACACGGGGCTCTTATTACAAGGTGCTACACATCTTGTAATATGCTGGGCTTCGGTGGACTTCCAAGATTTTGGAGAATTCAAGATGTCTCAAGCACTGTCAATGGCCATTGATGTAAGGGAATATCCCAAGAAAATATGGCCAGAAATATGGTACTAACGTAGCTCCATCTGTTGGATCCTGGAGATCTCCCATTGACACTGAATCTCAGCCCAATCAGAAAGCATATATGGGACCCTTAGCCGCAGCAGATTCAGTGTATCGGGGTATTCCCATGTTGCTTCACTTGGTTAAACCGTTAAACCATCCCATTTGGAAATGGATGGAAATGGGATTCAAGTAGTAAACCCAACAGTAGGGAGCACTTTTTAAGGGGCGGGTGTTGGATGATTCCCAACTGCAAAATTGAGTAAAGGAAGTAGGATTTATATCCGATTTATCATGATTTAGCTCACCACACTATATTATATTATATTCACATATATTCAATGAAAGTAGGATTTAAAAAAAATCAAAAAACTGGCATGAATTGAGATTCCGGGTCCGTAAAATGCTGCTTTTTTCTATGCGAAAAATCCCATGTGAATGCCATACTGCAACTCCTTGGAGAACCGGGCGGGGTCCCGGCCGGGCGCAGGAAGTTACCTCGGCCACTACACCGCAGGGCTCCGAGGCTGTGGGCCGAACGTGAACCCCAATGAGGCCGCAGGGAATGGGTGAACATTGGCATGGGACCAGCTTTTTTTTACCATCTATATAGTTATAAACTAGACTATATATATAATACATATACATACATATATTATATATAATATTACATAATTATATATAAATACATAATTATATATAGATATTGATATATCTATGGACACCATCTAATATTAACCAATGATATGGGTAGCCCTATGTTTTTACGTAGTATTCACCACCATTTCCTTGGGGTACCCAATTTAGAGTACCTCTATGGGGATTGACCAAACACCATGTTGAAAACACCATTGCCATTGCATGGGATGGAGGACCACAAACCAGACATAACCTTTTTTGAGCACACATGTGAGCAGTGTTCTAACGATGTCATTCTCAAAATTCTCATATTTTTTACACCCCTGTATCCTATGGATCCCCATTTTTGCGATGATTCCGCGCTCTTTTTTTCCTTCTTACCCTCCGGTGTCATCACACATGGCTTGCTGGAGAATTCACCCTATAAAATTTCCCAATGACAACGTCATCGACATGGTGGATTTAAGCCATCGGCAGGCGGCATCTGAGGGTACATTCACATACGTGAATGGAGATGACGCTTGACATGGAGATGTGGTGCGAAGTCATAGGTACCTTAACTTGTTTTTTTTTGAAAGCGCTTAAAAAACACATGGGAAATACTGGGATTTGACATGATTTATAAGATGATTTATAAGATGATTTGACTGAAATTATTCAAATGGAGCATTCAGGTGAGTCTTATGACATTTCAGTAGGTTGTTTTTTGTCTTTGCCATCGCTCCCTTGGATCTTTCTAAAGGTCTTCGGCGAAATTTACTCCACCTGAGTCTGAAGATGGGGCATTCCCCTGAAATGACCATATTTTTTTGGGGGATAAGATGGGAAAATGATGATTAATCATCAGTAGATTTAGGATGATGTGGGTGATTTTAGGTGTAGTCTCAATTGCAAAGCCATATTTGCGGAGCGGTTTTTTTGGCTGTCAATCTATGATCCCTTCTGGCTCTGGAGCTGCTCCCATTGCCTGTGTCCTTTGCAAATCAAGGTCTATACAGGGCAATGGAGAGAAGGAAAGAAGCAGGGAAAGGGCACCTACACGTTGGGACGCCTAGAAATTCCATGAAATTCCTCCATATCTGATATCATCTATTTGGGCCCAAGAATTGGATGGTACATGATGGTACCACTAAAAATAGACTAGAATCTGTGATCCCCAATGTCCTTTATACCGATTTATACCCCCCATTTCTAGAGGATTCTCCGTTCAGTCATGTCAATTTCCGCAGTCAGTGTGAGATTTTGAAAGGGTAAAGACAGTTTGAAACCATCACAGATACGCAAGTAAGGGTTTTCTATACATAGACCGCTGGTTTAGAGAGGATATATCCAGTGATTCATAGATGACACCCAGGCGTGCCATATTTAAACCATTATTTCGTGATAAGCCATGTTTAAGCCCATCAAACACCGTGTAGCTCATATTCCATGGAAAAAATGCAATTTTTCCACCTGACGAGGTTTGCCAAAGATCAGACCCAGCTGGTTGGTGAATGGGAGCAGGGCAAAATCACCAGTGGAAAGCACCTTGGCTTCGGCTCAGATCTGAAATGACCTGCAAATATGAGTGGGAAGCGGCTTATGGCAATCGCTTGAAATTTCTTTGTTGATTGGCAACTTGGCAACTTGGGAGTTGGTCTTCCAAGCTGGGTCGGCTGGGTTTTACATGGTTTTACAATAGACTTCCAGACGGTGAAACACAGGGTGGTTGGTTGTTCAACCTTTGCAGATTTCTCCCATCTTTGTGGTGATGCCCAGCGGGGGTCACCGCCAAAGCGTTGCAGGTGGCTTTTCCCCAACGGCACCTTCTATTGTGGCAAGTTCAGGCGAAGATGAGTTGGAAATCCATGGTTCACGGTTTCATCCAGATCTTGCATCGGTTGTCCCAAAAAGAATCGACCGGTTAAACAAAGTCATCCATAGCTGAGGATTTCAAGAGAAGTCATGGTATCCCATATGCTCCATCTATGGAATATTTACCAACATTTGCCCAAAAATCACCCAAATGTAGATAAATACTCCATACATGGATCCTATGGGTTGAAACAGATCATCTTAATCCCATAGCACAGACCCAGATGGCCAGCACCTCCCTCCAGTTCCGAGGCTGTGAGTAGGTTGTGAGATGTTGTGAGATTTCTGGGGATACCTCCCATTGCCCCATAGAAACGTTGATTGGCGGTTAACCATGGGATTTGTATATGATTTGTTATATATTTCATTATATTTCCACTATGATCCATAGCTTATGAAATGGCTTGACCCATGATCCATGGAACATGGGGCATTTTTGTATCAAACAGGGGTTTCATGGATTTGTACCCTCTGGTAAACTAACATAGCTGTAGAAAATCGCCATGTTTAATGGGTAAATCAACTATAAATGGGCCATTTTCAATAGCTACGTTAAATTACCAGAGGGTATGATTTGTTATTTACGATCCAACACACTTCTGTCTTCACGTGAAAACTGCCAGACCCTCCGAAGGAGAACCAGGTCCAATAGCGACCTTGTTAGTTTGGCACAGAGATGTTTCAAGGTGACTTCAGAATTCACTATATCTCTGGTGTATATCTGGGAATAATCTCCAAAAAATAATATATACGATTATCATACCCCGATTGATTCTCTCTCATTTAGTTCGATGATTTTCCCATTTAAACCCCGTGGCCCGCCATGTCTGGGGATTTGAAAGCACCAACCATTCTTGATGGACTCACGTCAGTGGTAAGACAAAATCCGCGAACTAGCGGCGAACTAGCGGTGTGGGCGTCAAGTGGATCTGTTTGAAAAATAGGGCACCAAAATCCCATGCTTGACATTGGTTTATATATGTTCACACATGTTGACATTCATTCTCACCACTAAAGTTGCCATAATTTGGGAGCCTTGGTCCTTTTGTGTCAGGTACAACAAGCCCTTCGGTAAGGGCGTGTGGGTCTTCAAGAATGGAAATCAGCTCATGGGCGATTATATCCAGAAGGTGTGGAACCTCAGTTCTTTTTTTTTTTCTGGGGGAGGATGGATGTTTTGGGATTCATTTTTTGTTTAGGAAATCAATCCTTCCTAATGAACTGTTTAAGGTGGAAGGGGTTCAGCGTTAAAACGCACAGGGTTTAGGGTTTTTCTTCATCTTGGGATGATCAGCTCCGTCTTTCTTAAAATGACTGTCAGTGACCCTTAAAAGATTGGGAGATGTTTTCCAACCAGGTGCCCCAGCATTTGTTGATGTCTTGTTGATCTATAGAACTCATCTAACATCATCTAGGACTGTAAAACCCTCTGGTAAACGTTAACATAAATATGGGACATCACCATTTTTAATGGGTAAATCCACTACAAATGGCCATGTTGAATAGCTATGTTAGTCATAACCAGAGGGTAAGTTGGTTTATAAACCCATCTAACTATGGTTATATATGGTTATAAGATGTTATATCTAGAAGTTATAATAAGCTATAGAAGTTATCTCTACCTGGTCCCCAGGCTACCGGCGACCTCGGGGGAGCCAGGAACAGCCGAATGAAGACGAGCCCCCACCAGACGATGACGGAGCTGAAGCTTGGCGAAAAAACCCGGCTGAGACATTCCCAAATGGCTATGGATCAATATTAGGTACCCCAAAATTATGGATGGTTAATACTAAACTAGACTAACATCTGTGGTCCCCTAGGTCTTCCATTTTGACCCACATCTATAGATGGCTATGGATCAATACCTATACATACCATTTTTAGTGGGATGAACATCCATAAATCCCAGCTATTTTGATGTGAACAGAAGGGGTACCAGGGTTTTGAGACATTCCCAAATCATCCCAACTCAATCCGCAGGTTAATGATGCTGATTAATGGTGATTAATGCTGACTAATGCTGATTCATGGGATAAATGATAATAATGAATGTTACCATCTGGTTATGACTAACATTTTGACATGGAAAGATCCACCCATTTTTAAGTTCGGTGAACCATCTATTTCGATTAGGGCCATCGATACATACCATGGCTATGTTAGGCATAACCAGGTTGGGTAAATCAAATCATAAAATGCGCCGCACATTTTTTTAAATCCGTAGATTTTCATGAACCCAATCACACACGGACCACTCACACAATCTTTATGGATTTTTATGGCCTAAGTTATACTCCTTTGGACCGGCCATTTGGCTCACAGGCTCAACGTCCTGACCCAAAGGCGCGGGGCACGGTTTTTCAACCCGCGAGCGTTGATGAGTTTGATGAGTTCAGGGCTGAAATCTACACTAAAAAAATGGGAAAACTGATCAAATTGATCAATATCATATCATATACTACAGTGGTTGATGATTATTTGGTTTCTATGATATATATATATATACATGATATACAATGTGGGAAACCCAATCATCAAGCTACCATTTGGGGATGGTTTTTGTATCACCCATAAAAAAAAGTGATGTGGGGATGGTTTATGAGTGGGTTTACCAAATTATATACAGTGTGATGGTCATAATCCATGAATCCATTATACTTATCTTATTATCTTATCTTTATATATCAGGGATTATCATGCTGGATGATCATAATCCATGGAAAAAAACCTAAGCAGCCAGTTTTTGAAGGGACGACAGAAGGATTTGCTATGGCGAACTTATGGGATTTCATTGAGATTTCACTGGATCATTTACAGAAATCAGACACCATATCGAACTATAGCTGGGCAATCTTATCCAGGAAACCAATGGAAACCATGTGACTAATTACCAGCGCACCCATTTTAAGGTATTCAATGCGGAAGATGATGTTCATAACTCCTAGCCTATGTTCAGACACACCCAGTGGTTATGCTCAATGATATTTCACCATCACAAAAGCAGCAGATATGTACCTATCTCCGGAAACAGGGACCACATTTTTTTTCCCAACAGACATATTAAGCATCCGTGCTTCGGGTACCCTTTGGTAATTTGACATCGCTGTACCCAAGTTTGACCCATCATATTCGAGCAACAGATGTAGATGGGGCCACAAGGCACCGTGAAATTTCTGGGGTCACGTAACATCACATAACATCATTCAACGGGCGTACTGGGATTATGGGTTTATCATGTCATGGATTCTAGGTGTAGTGGCTTCAATGATTCAATGTTTAGTCACAACTTCTGAATGGATTGAAATTCTCCAAAGAAACAATCGGTCCAAAGGGAGATGGGTAGCTACAACCCGATTCAAATTTGACTGGACTCATTATGTTGGCAATCGTGGGGATTTAAGATGATTCATGCAACAAAAGCCAAGGACGTAACCTTGAGTATTTAACATGGCAATGCAAAGTCATCACAAATCAAGAGGCAAGTTGAATCTATTGAAATTGATAACAGTTCAATATCCCCAAACCAGGAACACGCATGTCCCCAACTATTGGATACTTTTGAGGGACAAAATCAAAAGGGATGGAAGGGTTTTTTTGCTGCCCAAAATCAGACTGAACAGGTCGATTGGGATTACCCATGAGGATTCCAGAATGTCTTGTACACTGCGGAAATTCATTGGCATTGGCATTTAGACCGCGAAGGGGGAAAGAAGCCCGTGCCAAGTTGATAGCGGCGCATGTCAAACCGGCCAGCAGCTCCTTTCTAATAGTCCAAGCCCAAGCCGTTCAGATTTTATCTGTCATAAAAGTCCATGGGTCATTAAATGTCCCCATTGAACATCACCCAACCATTAGGTATATGGTCTATAATGGCTACTATAAGGTGATGTCCAATATTCCCAAAATGGGACAGTTACCAACCCCTGAAGTCGGATTGCCATTTATGGCAAGTCATTCTGGTTCTGGTTTTGGGTCAATCCTACAATGAGAACTGGTTTTGGCTAGCCGGGCTCAGCACCTTCCACCGTGTTCCGAGGTGGGGACCAGTCATCCCAGTGAATGATTTTCAGAAGTATCAAAATGGCATGAAAATCATATCTCATTCTTGAAGATCCAATAATCCTTGGCTGTTCATTCTGCATTTTTGGGATGGTTCATGCCCTATAAATACTATATTGAATTGCATATATATATATATACATAATCATATATATATATATATATATATACGTAAAATCATATATACATACATATATATATATATGTATATTCAACATGTCTTGCCTCTAGAATCAGCATCTTTCACCATGTTTAAACGGTTCTAATATGGATTTTCTTGATGGTTCACCATGTTGGCGTTGGCCTGCCAGGTATGGTGCCAATTCAAGCCCAAGGCCAGTGTAGCTGTGCGCGGTGGCCCTTTGATGCCGAGCGCTGAGACGACCTGAGACGACGGGGTTCAGTGGGATGGCTGGGAAATCTGGAAACCTCCAGGGAAAATGGGATACTTCTATAGATGGGGGAAATGTTGCATGAAATTTCCATGGCCATGTACTAGCAACGGACACATTTGTAATGGGTAAAGCATCAGAATTTGGGTGTGATTTGGACTTCACAATTTGGGTTTCAATCTCCAGAAATGGAGTTTTAATTGGCAGAAGTGGGGGTTTCAGTTTCAGTCAGAGAAAAATCATCCAATATCATTCCGTTGATGTTACGCGGTGTCATGGAAATTCTGGTCGGTGGCCAGCAACTTTGGGATATACTGATATACTCTTCTTGTAGATATGATCTGGTTGCTGGTTTGGAACATGTTTGAAAAATTGTTCCATTCAGTTGGGTTGGGAAGTTCGTAAGCCCAACTATGAACTTCCCATCATATTGGGAAGTTCATCATCCCACAAGGTGGTGCCCCAGTTCGTTAGCTAAGTTGGCGCCAATAACTCGCATTTCACTATGGTTTATGGCAGATATAACTATAGTATTCCTGGGGTTTATAAACCAACGTTCACATCACGTTTGGGGGCACCATTCTGCAAGTGACGAGGCGTCATATTTTTCAGAGGGGTAGGCCAACCACTCATAGAATTGGATGATGGGAAAATTTACAGGAAAGCCCTATATTTGATGGTAAAAACCATGGTTTCCGGTTAAGATTTTCCCAACAAAACCAATCCAATGAACCACCAACCGTTGTGATATCGGACTGAGAGAGCGATGTGCATCTCAGGTCCTGATCGGCGGCTCTCAGGAGATTCGGGCCGTATGATTTTTTTTGGGCCGGGCTTCTGTTGGTGGCTTTCACCAACAAAAATGGGACTTTGAAGAAGCCAAAATGGTGGGACTAGAATCTAATCCCCATTAACATCATTAACTATACGTATTTATATCATGTTATATCATCTACCAAAAAAAACCATAGAATTCAGCCACTTTTTATATTGTGAGAAGGAATAAAACTTGGGATTTGACAGAAATGGGGCATTGGGACATATAACATGGATTCAACCAGCATTTTATTGCTGATTACCAATAACTATAGCTCTTGGATTTGTTCGGATCTGTTTCTAGAGGAGAGTTGTCTTCCAATCCCAGCAGGGTCACCGTAAGTGAAGGGTCGACTACTCTGGCCAGCAAGTAGATAAGCACCATTCAAAGTCCCCAAACTACAGTTGTCCATGCGTATAACTTGAGTTATTCGCTGGGATTCTCATTTCTGATCCAGTTGTGTTTTTGGTGTGGATGCTAGTGACCCATGCCATGACACCCAAACCCACTACTTAGTTTCATGGTACAGACCTGGTTTCAAACCAGATGGTAGCTTGTAAATGGTGATTGCCGCTATTTCATGAACACAACTCAAACATATCTGGTTGGTGCTCTGGAACATGATTTTTATTTTTCCCATCATATTGGGAATTTCATCATCCCAACTGACTCATATTTTTCAGAGGGGTGGCTATACCACCAACCAGATAATGGTGATGACGACCCCCAATGTCCAGGAAATATCTGAGCGACCACTGGAAATGTGTCACTTTGGATACAGCAGGTTTGTAAAGTGGAAATATCACTGTGAGTCGTCGAGATTGGCATCACAGGAGTTTTTTGGTTAGGACAATGCCATCACGAGATCATTTCAGAATCATGACTTGCTGGAGAAAAATATGTTTGTTTCACACCGCGACCTGCTGGACTGCTGGACAAAACAGATTCTATTTTTTTCATAATATATTTGCTGGTTGGTGGTTTGGAACATTTTTTCTTTTTTCCAAAATATTGGGAATAATAACCTCAACTGACGAAGTCATATTTTTCAGAGGGGTAGGTCAACCACTAACCGGACCAGTTTGAATTTCATTTGGGATATCCCTGGATTCTCCCAAAAGCATCAGTCCTGAAATTCCTGTAACCTGCGCAGGCTGCTGCTGCTCCTGCTGCTCCTCAGATGCTACTGATCTGTTGTTGGTGTCTCTATAATTGCTACATTCTGGAGCAATTTCAATAAATTGCTTATTTTCCTTCCAACTGGCCGCCTTCCCTGCTTGCTTGCCCGCTTGCTCACTTAATTGCCTTCGGCAAGCTCGCCGGCCATAGTTGAAGAGCAGAGAGCAGAGAGCAGAGAGCAGAGAGCTGAGAGCAGAGAGCAGAGAGGAGAGAGGAGAGAGCAGAGAGCTGAGAGCAGAGAGCAGAGAGGAGAGAGGAGAGAGCAGAGAGAGGAGAGAGGAGAGAGGAGAGAGGAGAGAGGAATTGCATTGGTTCCATCCCTTCTGCCTGGTCGCTTTTGCCAGGAGCCTCTTATTTGTGGAGACCGCCTCGGCCGAGGACTTTTCGGCGAAGTCTTCACCACATGGCGAACCTCGGCGTTTCCTTTGGACCTTTCAACTTCTTTCAACTGTTATTTTTCAAACACTTTAAGCAACATGTCTTATCCTGTTTGTTTGGAGTTGCTGCCACCCAGTTCAATATTTTGAAGCACTTGTGTCAGCAGATGGGTTCTTACCGGGATGTCTTTGTGCAAAGGGTCAAGAGAGGTTGTGCAGTGTGTTTTGCCGGCGCGTGCTGCATGTCGTGTATGTGTTGCAATGGGTGGGCCTGTTGACAAGCAAGGCTTCGGTCGCCTTGTGGTGGTGAAGACTCCGCGCGCCGGCGGTCCTTTCGAAGATCCAGGGTGGGTGTTGCGGATGGAATTCCAACGGGCCTGCAGACTCAGCAACGTGACGAAAAGACAACAGGGAGTCGCATCACATGCATGTTGCATGTGCCAGCCACAAGGTTGTACAAGGTAGAGGAAGTTGTAACAGAGGAGCGGATGGGCGATGCCACCTTTTGGGAGCTTGCCATTGGGACATCTTGGTCCCGAGCACTCCCTCAGCTGTCAATCCCAGGACGGTTGGAGGCGCGTGATGGGCAATGTACCGAATGGGCGTTTTTGTTCCGAACAGTTCTGTGTTATAGTTATAATTACCCGTTGCTAATCTAATCGGTCTTATTTGTTATTTTCTTATCTATCTTGCACACCTCTATGTAACTTATTGTCGCATCATTATTATGTAAATTCCACCTGTCTATCTGTCTACCTGCCCATCTGCTATTATCTATCTGTCTGTCTGCCAACTTATCCACCCGTCTACCTGGTCAAGCCACCATGAAATCCTCCTCACACGCGCAGTTAATTCCATTGTCATGAAGTTGATTTCTGACGAGCCAAGCCATTATTATATATATATATCCAATCGGCGCCAGGTGGCTGAACAGCTGCAGTCTGTTGTGGCTTACTGCAGCCAGCGTTGCCACGTGCTTTGGGACCTCCACCATGAGGACGCCCTCATAAGGGGCAACGCTGGCTGCAGTAAGCCTCACCTGATGCTGTTGGACGTCTTCATGCCTCCCGATGAGCTGCTTGTCTGTGTGTTGCCATGTTCCTTTTTGCACTTGTCAGGTTTGGTGTTGGCTTTTATTGTAGGAGCAGAGATTTCGACATTTCTCCCCTGCAGCATGAGAGTGCATTGGCTTTTGTTCCCTCCTTCTTTTCTGAGTTTGGTTCTTTTTGATTCCCCACATCACTGTGTGGGGTTCTTGTTTTTCGCTTGGATCCCGCCGGGGCTCCGCTCCTTCGCCTCCGCCGCCTCCTCACTCACTCACTCACTCACTCACTCACTCACTCACTCACTCACTCACTCACTCACTCACTCACTCACTCACTCACTCACACACACTCACTCACTCACTCACTCACTCACTCACTCACTCACTCACTCACACTCACACTCACTCACTCACTCACTCACTCACTCACTCACTCACTCACACTCACACTCACTCACACACTCACTCACTCACTCACTCACTCCTCACTCACTCACTCACTCACTCACTCACTCACTCACTCACTCACTCACTCACTCACTCACTCACTCACTCACTCACTCACTCACTCACTCACTCACTGCCTTTCGCGTGGCAGGCGCAGTACACAGACCCTCCTGGACGAGCTGCGGCGCGCGTCGCGCCGCTGGGGACTGCCTTTCGCGTGGCAGGCGCAGTACACAGAGCCTCCTGGACGAGCTGCGGCGCGCGTGGCCGCCGCTGGGGCCGCGGCTGCCTTTCGCGTGGCAGGCGCAGTACACAGAGCCTCCTGGACGAGCTGCGGCGCGCGTCGCCGCCGCTGGGGCCGCGGCTGCCTTTCGCATGGCAGGGGCAGTACACAGAGCCTCCTGGACGAGCTGCGGCGCGCGTGGCCGCCGCTGGGGCCGCGGCTGCCTTTCGCGTGGCAGGCGCAGTACACAGAGCCTCCTGGATGCGGTGCGGCGCGCGTGGCCGCCGCTGGGCCCGCGGCTGCTTTTGCGTGTCAGGCGCCACTTATCATTCACCCTCATCACGCACCACTTATCACATCTCACTCATCACTTCTCACTTACCATTCTCACAGCTCACTCACCACTTATCACATGTCACTCATCATTCACCACTCATCACTACACCACATCTCACTCCCCACTTTTCACTGTCTCATCACACCATCCCAACTCATCACAGCTGCACTACTCACACCTCACTCATCACAGCTCCACTTCTCACACCTCACTTCTCACACTTCACTTATCACATCACAACCCATCACAGCTCCACTTCTCACACCATCTTTCACACACCCTCTTTCACACACCCTCTTTGACACACCATCTTTTACACACCATCTTTCACACACACACACAACTTTTTCACCCACCATCTTTGACACACCATCTTTCACACACCACTTTGTCACACACAATCTTTCACACACAACTTTGTCACACACCATCTTTCACACACCATCTTTCACACACAGCTTTGTCACACACCATCTTTCGCACACCATCTTTCACACACATCATCTTTCACACGCAAGTTTGTCACACACCATCTTTCCTCCACCTCCTCCTTTGTCTTTCCTTACTTCCCCGTCCCCGCTACAACATTTCTGGCTCATTATTGGAAGAAGTTGACTTGTGGGGTTATCCGGTCCTTTTATTTCTTTTTTGAAGATTATTGATGCTGGGTTTTACAAGCTTGCTGTCGGTCGGTTGAATTTTTGCTTGGATTGTCTTTTGATTGGTGTCTTCTTCGGCGAGCACCAGTTCGCGATGGCATGTCTTGAGGGTTTGTGATGTTTGTGATGCATGTTGTATTCACAGCTTGTGATGTTGACCCCGGGCCGCACCAACCGCGGACACTTTAGGAACTCTGGGTGTTTGTACACCCTGCCACCAGAGCTTCGACCTGGGGGGCCCCCACGTGCGTAGCCTGGCGCCAAACGCATGATGAACTGAGCCGGCATAGCCACTGCAAAGTGTTTCAGTGGAATGTGGTGGAAGCCTGCAATCATCCACTTGATCATGCACATTCAGTATGATTGTTTGTGTGTTCGTGCAACGGTGCACGCTAGTGTGCATATTTTGCATCTAGCAGCATCCAAAGACACCGAATCCAAAAGAGCCAAGGCAAGTTATGGCGGAACTCGGAAGCACCCTCCCTCTCCGCGTCAACAACTACGCCGGAGGCCTTCTGTTGGACACTTGTCAAATCTGAGCCTTCTCTGAAATGCTAACAAAAGCCCTGAGGCGAAAATGAAGCCCCGCATTACTCATCATTACTCCCCTTGACTTGCACAACTCGTAAGAACATATTTTAACATCCCGTCACCAAGACATCAAGGCCACCTTGTTCAGTGCTGAGATGCTGGTTCTAAGGCGAACTTGCTCTATCCGTGGGTGGCATTGCAGAACATCGACCACAGCAGCTTGGTGGGATTGCCTTGCCTCTCACAGCAGCTTGGTGAGATAATCGTTGGAACTGCCACTTCACATTTGCAATGAAGCGACTGTTGGCGGTTGTCTTGAACTGCAGCTAGCCTGACCCCTTGTGTACATATAGGCACTGGTTTATGTACGAAACACCTTGAACTTTCATTTTCAGGTGCCCGCCATGCACTGCCTGACAGGATATTCCAGTGGGTTTGCAACTCGACATCTCCGACACCCAGTGCATCGTGACTTCTTTGCATTGCTGTGTTCTCACTGAAACGTGCATCTGCACACACAGGGTACCTTCCGGTCGCTTCATTCGCAGGAGCCAGACACAGAAATAGAATCTATCTATTGAACGCAGTCGCTTACGAGGATCAACTTGCGACTGCCGGTTCTTAGTATGAGCAACTCCCATCGAGCCAAACTTGAACCTGTTGCCCAAAGCAAAGCTTGTGCATGCTTGAGGTGAAAGAAGTCCTGACGGACGGGCACATCGCCCTTTGGAACAAAGCAGCCGCGGACAAGCTTTGCCCGACGGTTGAGGTAGTAGAACGTTCTAGCTGCCAGCTGTTCATCATGTTCCAGTGAATTTTCCCAGTGTTGCTTGGTGCGAGGGTGTGCATGTCTCGGAAAAAAAGCTGAGGCCGGGATATGAATGCACATGAAGGCAGCAAACATTTGCAAATGGGGAAACAATGAAAACCATATGGGAGCACTGTTGCTGCTTTTGTCCTCCATGTTTGTCAATAGCCAGCACTTGAACGTAAATATGGGCAGGGGGGATTCAACCCGTCCGGGGTCCTTCGGAATGTCGGGTTGCCATTTCCCAGCTGAGTTGGCTGAAGCATGCTTCAGAGATCTTCGGA